AAAAAGGGTTCTGTATCTCCACTTTTCCTGCCAAATAGGAAGTGCATTTATATCACATTTTTACTGGGTCTGACCTTGAAAGATGCTTAAAACATAATTGAGTTCTTCCTCTTGGAAATGAAATATATCCATTGACTATGTTTTAAAGAAAAAAATGTATTATTTTATTCAACATAATGCTGTTGGAATTACGAGATGTGCCAAAACCTGGCACTTTTCAGAATGACTCAGAAAAAAACTATGCCAGGAAAATTCCAATTCCTGAGGCATTTTTTCCTAAATTGTCCAATTAATTACCTACTTCTTCACCTTCCTTAGTTTTGTAGACATAATACAACATGCTGCCTTTTCCAAGCTATGGTTCCTGAGCCATTTGAAAATCAAGAATATCTGGATCCAGAGTAATAATAATAATAAAATATTTAACAAACACTATGGCCTGGGCACTGACCAATCAGAATATAGTTTGACACAGGCTTTTGCTCTGCTGTGAGTCCCACCCCCTCCCCTCTGCTTGCAAGGAGGGATGAAAGATGCCTCCTACATCACCTCCCAGGAGAGAGACACTTTAATGACACCCTTGGGATAGCAACATATGTGTTCTCTGAAGCATTAAGGACACTCTAGACTGTTGTCTGGAAAATCTAAGCTGCAGAAGACAGGCTGACTAACTTCTCTGACAGCTGAGGAAGAGGGAGCTTGCAAGACTGGGACTGGTCAGCACCACCCAAGTTTCTTAGGAAAGAGAAAGTACCTCTCATGGGTCAGACATTGCCCCTGGCTAGGGGGCAGCTAGTGCTGAGGTGCACTTCTGTCCTGTCCTGGGGGACTACCTGGAGGGATGAACACAGGAGAGAAGCTGCAGGAATTCTCAGGCGCTGAAGAAATAAGAATTAACTGGAAAAGAGATGCACTCATCTTCATCAAGGGAACTACAGCGAGAGATCTGGAGCAACATGAGCCATTCTTACCAAAGTGCCTGTGAAAGAAAGAATCAATTCTTAAAACCTGTAGTCACGCCCGTAAAGCACTAACTCAGGTTCAATGCCAATCAAATAAGTACCAATCAAGTAAGAGTTTTTTTTACTTCCGTCACCTGTGCTTTGCCAATCCGTTTGTACTTCAACTGGGGAGAACCAAGACCTCTACTTAGTGAAATAGGGGAGAAGAAGTGAAAGCAAATGTGGATAAGGCAAGAAGTTGACCATAACTTTCTCCCCCAACTGTTAGTTTTCCACCAGCCGCAATGGGGAAAGGCCTGGCTCTTAAATCAGTTCCAAAGTCTGATCATCACATTAGACTGGACATTTTACTTACTGACCATAGGGCTTTCTATCACCTAAGAGCACAGAGAAAAGTCATGAGATGGCCCCAATTTTCACCTGGGACAAAATAAAATGTAAAAAAGCAGGAAACAAAAATTAAATTGTTTTACAATTATATATCACTCTTTGTCTTTCTCTGATGGACCAGGACAAAGACCCACCTGTCTGGAAGATGATATTCTCATGGAGGAAACAAAAATAAGAAAACAGTTAATTAGATAATAATTAGTGATAGTGCCATGAAGAAAAACAAAGTGGGGTGAGGAGGTATGGAGAGAGAGCTGGGGGAGGAGGGGTGCTGTTTCTCGGGGAGTAGCAATGAAGGCATTTCAACAGGAACATGAGTAAGAAAGTCAGCCATCTGAAAATGGTCTTGGCAGAAAAAAACCATGAGTGCAAACTGCAGAGGCAGGAATCAGCTTGTGGGTCTGAGGATCAACGAAAAGCCTGTGTGGCTACAATAGAGGGAATGAAGCAAGAAGGGTAGGCCATGAGTTTGGGGGACCCACCAGGAGTCCAGTCGTATGCTGTCATGAAAAAGGAATTGGCCCTGAAGTGCAGTGTGAAAGCCTCTGAGGGCTGAGCTCATCCTCCAGTGGTTGCCCTGGCTGCCGAGAGAACAGAGACTAGTGACCAGTGACTACATCTGTCGGGCAGCAGCTTCCAAATCACCTAGGATACTTGCTGAGACAACATATTACTAAGCCCCATCCATGCCCTGAACATATTGAACCAGAATCCCGTGGGAGTAAGGTAAAGGCTGCCATTTTTAGCTGATCCTCCAGGAGATTCTCTCCAGCTGTCAGAATCAGGAATCACTACCCTACATTGGGGGGTGCCCGTTTTATGAGAACTCACAGAATTTTTGCTCAGCATTCAACTTAGACTCTCTGAAATGTCCGTGTTTTTATCTTGTCTCTTTGCTTTAAATATGTTTCATCCATCATTAACCATTGTGCAGGATTTTCCTGTTCAATTTTGGAGGGTTCCAACTTTAACTAGGGCTTTATTTTACTATTTATTTGACCTTCATTTTCCCTTTTACTGATATTTATTTTTATAGATATGATTTTTTAGTATTAATGCATCCATTTTATTGTTTTTAAGAATTAAACTGCCATTTCAGCATCTTCAGAGTAATAGAATGCATTGTACATACATATAATTTAGACATATGCCTATTCCAGCTTCAAAGTTTTCTCTGATATAAAGTGGGATTCACATTATTTTTTCCATAGAGAAATACACATTAATTTTATCTTTCTACCCACTTCAAACAACTGGATGAGTTCACACCTGATGCCATTTGAAATTTTTGTCTCCTACAATACATTCACCTGATCTGCTTTGCTGCATAACATATACTTCTAACCCTGACAAAAAATAATTTTTAAGTCTACCTCTTTAAACATGTGGGCATTTTATCATGAAACTGATTTTTTTTCTATTTTTTGTCCAATACATTAGGTGGTTTCATACCATATTCAACCATTGTGAATTTCAATAAAAGCGGGAGACCTCCTCATAGATAGTTGAGAAGACTTTAGTGAATTTGACTGTTTTCTTACTACAGGAAACAAAGAATGGTATTGTATCTTAAGAGAAATATTTTAACACTTTCTAAACTTGGGCAAAAAAGGGAATCAAGTTTCTACCAGTCCAAGTACCTACTATACTATGACAGAAGCATTTACCATCACTATTTCACACTACCTCAGTCTCCTAATAGCAAAGCTTTCTTACTAGAAGTATTGTATTAACACTGGACTCTCAAGTTGCCAGGTGTAAAAAACCACTTGCTTTAAAAAGAAAGTGTTAGTTATTTCAGGCTCGTCAAGGTTAAAATGGTCATTTATATTATTTCTAATTTCAGCTTTAAGCTCAGAGATGTGTTGGCATCTGATCAGCCAAAATGAGAATTTGTTTTGCCTGTATCCAACAGAATAAAATGATAAATTAGCAATAAGTCCATCCTTTGCCAAAAAGAAATATGTTTCAAATTTATATAAACTATATAATAAATCTGGAGAAGGAAATGGCTACCCACTGCAGTATTCTTGTCTGGGAAATCCCATGGACAGAGGATCCTGCCAGGCTACAGTCCACAGGATCACAAACAGTTGGACACAACTGAGCAACTAACACACACACACACCATTAATGGGGGAAGAACTTCATGAGAGTTTATTCAAATCACACATGATAATACCCCAAGAACATCAATTTATATATATGAACTCTGTACAAAGTATAAGTCATCACCTTAACAGAAACATAACAAGTCCCTATAATGCAAAAATTAATTTTAAAGGCACCTTATAAAGTCATGAAATTCATATAACTTAGTCATATTCATTCATATAATTTACCTTTCTCCTCTCTAATACAAAGGCATCTGGCAGTTTTCATTTAACTTCATGCTAAAATGTTCCAAATTTAGAATCTTTACTAATGAAAGAAATAAACAAGAAATAAGTTTTTTTTTTTAACTTCAGGTTAGAGGGAAAGCACATTACACAGTTATAAAACCCAGGCAAATGAGAGTTGGTGAGTATACAAATGCTTATCGTTAATATATTATTCAAATTCCTCCATGGCACTTAGACTGCAGTTTAAAACCCAATAAACAAGAAACCATAAGAACAGGAGCAAACTACCATGAAACAAGGAATTATAACAAAGTCTATTCAGCCCTAAATATTTAGTTTAAGACAATGAGCAGAGTAGCACACACTTCATCTAAATGACACCATTTAAACTGTGTTATAATGTAATATTACTTAAGACAAACCAGTGTGGAGCATTATGACTCCAACCATTCTCAAAAACAGGATTAACAAGTAACAGCATCCCCACCAGCTTGGAGCCTACAGAAGAAATTACTTCAGTCATATCTTTGCAAATGATTCAGTAATGCCTTTCAACATTACAAACAGAAATCCATCATAGAACTAGAATTTTTATGCATTTTGGTGCTTCTGGGGCTGCCTAAAAATAATAAGGCATCCAAGCGAAATTCATTATATATTAATTATTCCACAACATTTCAGTACCTAAAATGTGAAATCACTCTCTACCATTTACCTGTCTGCCTTACACTATATTCTAGGTTTTTACTTCCAAGATTTTTATTGTACTTTGGGAAATTAGAGGTAAAACATAGTTTTAAAAAATAGGATGTCAAATCATTACACTGTACACCTTAAATATATACAGTGCTATACATCAATTATATCTCAATAAAACTAGAAGGAAAAAAACTGTGAATGTGCTTAAATTCACAGAAAAAATAGCATTTTTACAATCATATTGAAATTTAATCCTTTTACACATGTTAACAAAATATGTCACAGAAAAAAACCTAAACAACAAAACTTTTGAAAGCGGAACAATGCAAGTTTATTTTGGTAACTCAAATGATAGAAGGTCACCTCCAGGTCAATTCGCCATGCTAAAGGAAAAGAGTTGTAAAAATACAGCTATGCTACCGAGCCATTTATCCACACTATAGTATAAAACTGGAAATAAATCCTAAAGCCAAGGTTTAAAATCACTTTAAGAGACAAGATTCTAAGTGTTTTATTGCTATCTCTGCAAGAGGTGCTTTTCCTTCCCCAAACAAAGGTTAATTGAAAAGTTGATTCGATTTAAGGTTTTGTTTTTTTTCCTCATCAGCTCTTCAGTTCAAAACACTATGATCAGTGCTAACATGTTGTCTAATCTGAGTGCTCTGATCCAGAAAGTGGGATTGGGGAAGCTGGACTTTGTGTTGGTGGAAGAGGTGAAAGTCCTTTTGATAGAGGGCACACACCAGGATTTGTTCCATTCTGTTGTGCAAATGGAAGGTTCAGCGTTTCTTGCTCTTCAGTGAATTGGGGTAAAGAGTTAAGACTGTGATGGTTAGGAGGAGATTCATTTACAGGTGGACCTCCATTTTAAGATAGAGGAGATCCTGGAGGAGGAGGAGGAGGATACCAAGAAGGTGGCACCAGGGCAGAAATGCATCCAAGGGAAGAAGTTACTGGTGATGGATCAGAGGTCATGGGTGGAGGTGATGCTTGACTATGAATCAACTGAGGAGGATCTGAATCCTGGTGAGAATGTGACACTGGATGGCTTACTGGTGGTAGAGGAGATGCGGGTAGTGCATGTTGCTCTGGATGCACCACATAAGAGGGCAGTACCTCTGGTTGACTTTGACAGTCAGGATGCTGGTGAGCAGGTGCTGGGCAGGAGGTGAGAGTTCTTTGGCACCAGAATTTGAGTCAGCCTGAATTGGGGTAATTCATAAATTGCTGTGTTCCCTTGCTGAAATACTAACGATTTCCTGATGGACCAAAGGGGGTGAAGGTGGCGCCAATTCTGCGGGAGGAGCATGAAGATCCTCATGTGGCTGGTTACTGAACTTGTGTGATACACATTGCACAGGAGGTGGTGACATATTGGTGCACAACTCTGGTGGAATATGGTTCCCATGGTCCTTGTCTAGCAGCATTTCAGGGATTTCAGTTGTTGGTGAAGCAATACAAGGGTGAACTTTTTTAGTGGAGCACAGGTAACAAATTTTTTTAGCTCTCTAATTGTGGTACTTGATATGAGCTTCTAACTCTCTTTGAGACAAATAAGTTTTCCTGCACTCTTGCCCAAAGCTACATAGGAAGATAGAACCTTGTGTATGCTCCTCAATTTTTAGCACAGGAATACTACAGCCCAGACATATCTCTGTCTTTTTCATATAAATTAGCACAGTAATAGCAAAAAGCATGCTTGCACGAATGTAAAAAGACAAAATGGTTGTCTCAAGAGGCCTTACAAATAGCTGAGAAAAGAAGAGAAGTGAAAGGCAAAGGAGAAAAAAAGAAACATATACCCCTCTAAATGCAGAGTTCCAAAAAATAGCAAGGAGACATAAGAAAGCCTTCCTCAGTGATCAATGCAAAGAAATAGAGAAAAACAATAGAATGGGAAAGACTAGAGATCTCCTCAAGAAAATTAAATACCAAGGGAACATTTCATGCAAAGATGGGCTCAATAAAGGACAGAAATTGTATGGACCTAACAGAAGCAGAAGATATTAAGAAGAGGTGGCAAAAATACAAAGAACTATACAATATAGATCTTAATGACCCAGATAACCATGATGGTGTGATCACTCACCTACAGCCAGACATCCTGGAGTGCAAAGTCAAGTGGGTCTTAGGAAGCATCACTATAAACAAAGCCAGTGGAGCTGATGGAATTCCAGCTGAGCTATTTTAAATCTTAAAAGATGATGCTGTGAAAGTGCTGCACCCAATATGACAGTAAATTTGGAAAACTCAGCAGTGGCCACAGGACTGGAAAAAGTCAGTTTTCATTCCAATCCCAAAGAAAGGCAATGCCAAAGAATGTTCAAATTACTGCACAATTGTACTCATTTCACATCCCAGTAAAGTAACACTCAAAATTATCCAAGCTAGGCTTCAACAGTATGTAAACCAAGAACTTCCAGATGTTCAAGCTAGATTTAGAAAAGGCAAAGGAGCCAGAGACCAAATTGCCAACATCTGTTGGTTCATGGAAAAAGTAAGAGAATTGCAGAAAAACATCTACTTCTGCTTCATTGACTATGACAAAGCTTTTGACTGTGTGGATCACAACAAACTGTGGAATATTCTGAAACAGATGGGAATAGCAGACCACCTGACCTGCCTCCTGAGAAATCTGTATGCAGGTCAAGAAGCAGCAGTTAGAACCAGACATGGAGCAACAGACTGGTTCAAAATTGGGAAAGGAGTACTTCAAGTCTGTATATTGTCACTTTGCATATTTAACTTATATGCAGAGTACATCATGCAAAATGCGAAGCTGAATAAAGCACAAGCTGGAATCAAGATTGTCAGGAGAAATATCAATAACCTCAGATATACATATGATACCACCCTTATGGCAAAAAGCAAAGAACTAAAGAGCCTTTTGATGAAAGTGAAAGAGGAGAGTGAAAAAGCTGACTTAAAACTCAACATTCAAAAAACTAAGATCATAGCATCTGGTCCTATCACTTTATGGCAAATATATGGGGAAACAATGGAAACAGTGACAGACTTTATTTTCTTGGTCTCCAAAATCACTGCAGATGGTGACTGCAGCCAAGAAATTAAAAGATGTTTGCTCCTTGGAAGAAAAGCTATGACCAACCTAGACAGCATATTAAAAAGCAGAGATATCACTTTGCCAACAAAGTTCTGTCTAGTCAAAGCTATGGTTTTACCAGTAGTCATGTATGGATGTGAGGGTTGGACTATAAAGAAGGCTGAGTGTCAAAGAATTGATGCTTTTGAATTGTGGTGTTGAAGAAAACTCTTGAGAGTGCCTTGGACTGCAAGGAGATCAAACCAGTCAATCCTAAAGGAAATCAACCCTGCATATTCACTGGAAGGACTGATGCTGAGGCTGAAGTTCTAATACTTTGGCCACCTGATATGAAGAGCTGACTTCTTAGAAAAGACCCCAATGCAAGGAAAGATTGGAGGCAGGAGGAAAAGGGGACAATAGGATGAGATGTTTGGATGGCACCACCAACTCGATGTACATGAATTTGAACAAGCTCTGGGAGATGGTGTTGGACAAGGAAGACTGGTTTGCCGCAATCCTTGGGGCTGCAAAGTGTCGGAGATGACTGAGTGACTGAACAACAACAAAGATTTTAATAGGCAAATCACATTTGTCACATAAATGAACTTGGTAAATCATCCTTTTCACCTATCATGTTTATCTTAATGTCCTCCCGAATGCATTCAGGAAATGTTTTCTTTCTTCCCAACAGTTCATCCCCTTTACCATCATACCACCCTCTGCCATTACATTCAAATTCTTTCTCACCAGCGGGTGACCAATTCATAGTCCTTGGGGTTTGAGACACAGATTGCTATTGCTCACCTGCTTGGAAATGAGCTTTGAAGGAATTCGTCTTGGAACCTCAAGGCCACCAGACAATCCAGAACTCTTGAGTACATGGCAGACCATTGTCGGTGTCAGCAGGATCCACCTTTGGTGTTCAGCTAAGTCGGCCCCTGGGAATGGGAGTCAGGCCCCGCAAGGGCAGCAAGAGCGTCCCCTGGAGCCCTGGAGGCAGGAGTTAGACCAGATTAGATCAGGTCCCGCCCCTGGCTCTGTAGCTTTGACTTCCTTCCGAGGGATTTCCTCTCCTTTCCCCTGCCCCATCTCACTACTCTGGGAGGGAGTCAAACATAGTTTGGACAAGCAGGAAAAGAGCTTCACTGTTGGGTTTTCCAAGGCTCCTCTTCATGTGCCAGGAAAGTGGCCTTTAACTGCAAAAAGAATGATGGAGATGGGGGAGAGGAGTATAGAAGCCGCCAAAAGAATAAGTTCTCCACTTATTAGAGCACTGCCTTCTGAGGCCGCTTTGTTTATTATTGTCCTTTTGCATTTCTGTAACTGCCTTATATCCCTCATGGTATGTGTCAGGGTGTGTGTCTGTCTATACATATATATGCATTCTGGCATACACACACCTCTAAGATTTTGTAACAATGTAATGAATATAAGATAACCTTCAGAGGTAGGGAGCACTGTATTTACCTCATCAAGGAAGAATCATATAAAAAGTAGTGAACATGGTAATTTGACATTGCTAGACATTTGCTGTTCAGGCTTAAAGAATGATTATGGGTATTTAAGTCAAATTTCCCCAGATCTCCCCTTCTGGCAAGTAGAAACTGTACCACAAAAACAGCAACAAATTCAGCTCCACCCCACCCATAATTTTGGCTCCTCTATATCTTAGGGGGTGGTCTCTCCTTTTGGCTAACTGTCAAGTCTCCCAAAAAAACACTGATCAATCAAAGTCATTTAAACTCACTGCAACATAGGAGACCACTACCTTAAAGTCTAAATAGTGTCTCAGAAGAGGGATGGCAGGATAGGTATTAAGGGCTGGGCTGGGTGATTTTAGGGCAGGTCTTGCAAGGAGAATTGGGAAGATTTTATAACATGACAGCTAAAGATAGGCAGGCACAGGGAACTGAGAATACTGACCTGAGTATTAATGGGCAATATGTTATTCTTGCTAAGTAAATTCTTTTGCTTGACTCACAATTTTATCTTTCAGGAAAATGTGCTTCCTGGAACAAGTAGCTAAGTTTGCTTCTTCTCAGAAGTTTTTTGGATTTTTTTTTTCTTTTTGGCCACAGCACAGCATGCAGGATCTTAGTTTCCCCAACCAGGGATTGAACCCAGCCCCCTGCGGTGGAAGTGTGGAGTCTTAGCCACTGGACTATCAGGGGAGTCCTCTCAGGAGTTTTTAACAAAAGAACAGAAAACTATGCCCAGTTCAATTGCTGTTTTACAGGGTAATGAGGAATTATGCTGGTTTCCTTTTCTCTGGCTTGTTAGAGTGTTGTTACATCAATGGTGAAAACACAACCATGCCCAGATACCCACCAAAGGTACCAGTAGTACTCACTAATGCCCAAAGGAACCAATATTTATTGAAGGTGCTGTGACGTTCAGGAAGAAGCATGGACTTCCTTGCCTCTTTTCTTTCACTCTATTACATGGGCTACAAAGCACTTCAGATCAATGCTTGCCAATGTGTTAAAGAGATTTTTCTGAATTGCTCCTTTAGTTTTTTGCTTGCTCTTAACTATTGTTCCTCTGGCAAAGACTGAGGCAGTGCAAGCTCATGGTGGCTGGTTTAAATTTGAATATACAATACCACACACCTCTGACATTCTCTCCTAGTTCTGAAAACTTTTTAGTATTCCAGCAATGCTGTCTTCTCTTAGGATTCATTCACTCCCAGGAGGCAACTTCATTCCTCATGCAAATAAATTTATGGGCTCATCTCCTGGAGTCTCCCAACACATCTAACCTGCCTAAACTCTAAGGACAACATATTTTATCCTCTCAAATCAAGCCTTCCATTGCATGTTGATTTAAATTACAGACAATTTGAAATTTTGTTGGCTTAAAAAAAAAGCAGCATTTCTTTAAATAAATCAAAGTGGTTCTTATTTACTAAGCCATGGATGTTCTGCCCCTATTATAAACAATACACCAGAGTTCTAAGTAAAACCTAAAACTCAGAGTATTAAGGCATGTGCAAATATTCCTGTTTTACAATTACAATGACTTGTTTCCAGGCTATTTAAGAAGGTTCCATTTTGTGTGGGGGTTTTTTTTTTTTATGTGATATACATATAATTCAAAACTTGGGCAAACTTTGAGAGACAGTGAAGG